TTTGCCTTTACGACCTTTTAATAAGTGCTAAAACTGATCATTATAACTGCAACTGATTTAGTGTAAAAAAAAAAAAAAAGATAGTAAACAGTGTGTTGCTATGGTAACTCGCTCTTGTACTCACACTTTTAAATGTGAGTACCTTTAGCTCTGATAGAAAATGAGCGAAAGGTACTCACATTTAAAAAGTAATGGCTTCCAAAACTAAAAGCCATCAAATTGACTGCTTTGGGAGGTTCAATATTATCAGTTTTTATAGATCAGAATATTTGTTTCATAATTGTTCATGAATCTATAGGGCTATCCCTTGAGACATTTTAAGACTGCATAGAGATTTTTTTGAAATACATGTTCTGCAGTGTATAGCTTCAATAAATAACGTAACAATGATTGTTTTATCTTGTTTTCACACATTAGCTTTGGCTCATTAGGCAGAGAGGGATCAATGAACCATCTAATGAAGTATCTACTGCATGTATGTGTGATCAGATGGTGATGCACGCTCAAAGAATATAATAGTAGTACAGTATAAACATCATCAGTTTACCATCTGAAAAACATGGCCATAATCAAAAATAAATCCAGTTTAAAAACAGTTCAGTTCAGCTGATTGCCTCTTCACTCTTTATAATGCACTGTAATTTATGTAATGTATTTCAATGCCTTGTATGATTATGTGCATCTTGTTTTGTTAAGCACGTTGAGTCCTGATATTACATTAGTTGACCATTGCAAACTTGTACACACCAACATTTTCCCCTACTCTTCACATAAAAAGTCAGAACAAAGTCGTACATGGTCCACAGAGAGATATAACCCCCCATGGTGTCCCGCTAAAAGGGTGATGAGAGGATGACACCTTTGACCTTATTTGCAAATGCATTCACGTTGACTCAAAAAATAATGATTTATTTATGTATTAGTCCATGACATCATATAACATACGCCATATACTGTATATTGTCTTTTCGGTTGTGCAACAACAACAAATAATATTAACATTTTGGACAGGTGACAACTTAAAGGAATAGTTCACCGTTTTTACATACTGACAAATGTTCTTACCTTACCTTAGACTAGTTAATACGTACCTGTCTGGTCTTAGTCCGTGTGCTCTGTCATGCAAACGGAGCAAAAACGGGAGCACAACCGCAGCCTCCTTTGTATATTTTGTAGCACCAAAAGGTAGCTCCCGCTAGAAGCTACCAAACTCTTCCAAGTGTTCCCTATTAAATGTATATAGTTACGTGACGTGTTACACTGCAAAGTATAGTAACACAGAAATGTAACAGTCGATTTTCTCAGCGGATAAAACGGGTACTATATTGTGAGGCGTAGTAATCTGAGGGGCGCTACGTCCGCGCACTAACTTCTCTCCGGAGACTTCTCTCTCGCTCACTTCCGTCAATAGAAGCAGCGTGACTTGTAATACACACAGTAGCAGCGAGAGAGAAGTCTCCGGAGAGAAGTTAGTGCGCAGAGAAGTTAGGAGCGCTACGTCCGCGCACTAACTTCTCTCCGGAGACTTCTCTCTCGCTGCTACTGTGTGTACTACAAGTCACGCTGCTTCTATTGACGGAAGTGAGCGAGAGAGAAGTCTCCGGAGAGAAGTTAGTGCGCGGACGTAGCGCCCCTCAGATTACTACGCCTCACAATATAGTACCCGTTTTATCCGCTGAGAAAGCCGACTGTTACATTTCTGTGTTACTATACTTTGCAGTGTAACACGTCACGTAACTATATACATTTAATAGGGAACACTTGGAAGAGTTTGGTAGCTTCTAGCGGGAGCTACCTTTTGGTGCTACAAAATATACAGAGGAGGCTGCATTTGTGCTCCTGTTTTTGCTCCGTTTGCATGACAGAGCGCACGGACTAAGACCAGACAGGTACGTATTAACTAGTCTAAGGTAAGGTAAGAACATATGTCAGTATGTAAAAACGGTGAACTATTCCTTTAAGGTTAAAACTTAACTTAGGTTAAAATCCCTCCCGTTGGTAAAATGGCCTCCAGTCAAGTCAAATGCTTTAAACATTTCACTCCATTCCAGCTTCTTGAAGTGTCTGGTCTCACACGCTCCATTGTGTGAAGCTGTAATTAATTTCACGAGAGTCAAGTCCTCTTCGGGGCCAGTGGAACCTCTGTGTCCGTTTGGTGCTGCGGGATTCTGAGTGGGGTCGCACCATGAGCAGCTGCAAAGTGGACCGAGCCAAGCAGACAGGACACTTCCTGTTTGTCTCCAGAGTTTGGAGGCAGAGCCTTTTCTTCCTGATAATTAACCTGCAGTCACATCCGCACTGAACAGCTTCGGAGGAGGCCAGCAGGAACCCAGCTGCTCAACGACAATGAACGATGTAACACGGAGGCATTCTAAACTGCAGGCAATACTCTGCGGCTGGACGATCTGGGGACAAAGATAAATCACTTCCCCCCCCATATCGATCTATCTCAATTTCCGATTCCATTTTTGCGTGAATTCATTGACCTTAATTTAACCAGGAAAGTCCAACAGAGATTTCAGAAACTCCAATAAATGAAATAACTGGTATGACACAAACAAATATTTGCATCTCCAAACTTATTTAACTCTAGTAATATTTTTGACAATCATTAAGGGGAAAGTCGAGGACACAAAACTTCCTGTCCTACTTTTATATACATACAAAATGTTAAATGCGCTGTTGCTGCCCAAAGACCATACATTAGGAGTGAACTGAGCGAGCACCGACGTCATCCAAAGTGTTTGCTGAATGTGGAAGAAGCAAATTTGAACGTAAGGGAGGTGAAGCCAATATGGGAGCCTCTCTTTCTTTGCTTAGTTTTGCAACCGAACGAACATGCTTCTAACGCAGTCGCTAAGGCAAGCTGGAGTTCCCCCTTAAATGATCAGACTTTATGGCTCAAATGTAGATTCACATAGACAATATCAAATTATAAACAACAGATTCACAGAGAGCACGTGTCAACCCTATTCCTGAGGCTGTACTTCCTGTTTTATTTTGCACTTACCTTGTACTGACCTCTTCACTTGCCTCCCCCCCTGTGTTTACCTGCCCCGCCCTAATGTGTTGCACTTGGGTCCCATTGTCTACTCCTCCCAGTGTTCATAAACACCTCTGTTCCCATCGTTCTGTGCCAGATTGTCTTGTACCATGTGTGTGTCAGCTTTCCAGCCTTCACTTTGTGTATTAAACTCACCTGGAGTCGTAACATTTGAGTCCTTCTGTGTTTTGTGGTTTTGATAGCACGCAGTCACCTTCAGCGCTATGCACCTCACCCATTGTTTTGGAATTATTATTAAACAGGTTTTATGAATTTCAAATCATGTGAAGCAATACACTGATAGAGAAAAATCAGAAAAAGCGACTTATTAGAATTATATTTACTAGTTTGCAAGAAATCTGTCAGTACATAAATGAGCACATATAACTCTGCAGACATTATATACAAGAATGACATTTATTACTTTTGTATGTAGATGAAATTTGGTTACGATTTGGTGCTCAGATCCCGGGAGAGCACTGCATGACAAAGGCAGAAGAGAAATGTAAATAGAAAATGAGATTAAATCCACAGAGCTCCTAGACCCTGGTGGTGGGAGCTATGAGAAGGATTAAAAAGCTGGTCCGGCTGACGAGGCGGGGATGGGGAGGAGGAGGGTTGCTGCACAAACGAAAGCTCTCAACGATAGGATACCTCGATGCAGGACAGTGTTAAAATGCACTCAGTTTCTCCAGTCTGAACCTCCACTTTAGCTTCATGGTACTATCTACACACACCATGGTCTTAGGAGAGCAACGTTCACTTCTCACTCAACACAAACACGAATAATTATACTCGGATGTGGATCAAAGCAAACCGAACATGTTTTGATCAAATTCATTAAAACCCATGTTAATGCATGTTAGCTCTTTGATACCAACCGCCGTCGTGTTTGGAATACTTTGTGAGATATAGTAATTATGTATACGTACACATGTATACATACACGGGCAGGACGTATTTACACATGTCTGAGTGACGGCGAGTGATCACATTCTAAAGCTGTGGCAAAAGCATTGACATTGAGGAAAGAGGCAGAGACAGATGTGTTATGGGATTGAAGGCTTTAATGACACTAAATTTCAGACGTGGTAATGTCAAAGGAGTACTTTTAAATCTCGAATAGTACTAAAGTTAATAACTCCTTGTGTAACCATGTCAAACTTTGATCAACATTTGTAGAAGGAGGTAGGTTCTCTTGGCTCCTCCCTTTTGAGCTGTCCTTTGTATTATTCTGTATTGTCTTCGTTGTAGTTTTTGTGCTTGGATAAAATTGGTTAATACATTAAATGAGATTGCAGATACAAGATGTCAAAATTTGTCACCTCCACAGAGTTGCTGTGCGCTCCACCTATTTGTATTGCAATGTTTGTATTACAATACACAAACAAATATTCAATGGTCTCAAAGAAAAGTTTTAAAAAGTTCTCTACATTTCAGTCTGAGAATTGAGAGGCTTTTAAAGTATACATCCAGTATAGGACTCTCTTTGAAGTAATGTTTTGAGTCTGTTTCCTTTTCTTGTTGTCTCTGGAATATGCTTAATGGCACAGATCTTCAGGCTACTGCGACTTGTATAGCCAGTGGATATTGTATATTTTTTGTCCTTACAGCTTGCTTGTGTCTATATTTCTTGTTTGTCTGCATTTCAGTATTTATTTGCTTCAAACGACTGTCTAGTTTTACGATACTGCAGTCTTCATTGTCGTTCTCCTTTTCCATATTTTCAACAACCGCACTAAATCTATCCATGCGTCTTCACACTTAAAATTGGCCTTGTCTCAAAAAAGACCCGAGTTTTGGTGCTAACCCTCGTCCAGATTCCATCGTGAACAAAGTTAGCAAAACATCTGTAAATGTCACCAAACCCGGAGACAGCAGCAGCTCCATCCATCCTCTTCTTTTGTCGCTCTCCAGTAAAGGACCATTAGTTTAGCAGAATCTCGCCTTTCGCGCTTCAGAACGAGCAGCAGGAATGGGCCTTCTTGACGGTCTGAGCCTTCGTGTGGAGACGGTTGTCATTAGCCGCAGCTCTCACAGCGTATGGCGGCGTCGGGCTCCGCTGCTCCTCGTCTCCACGGGCGACAGACACACGTCTCTCTCCGTCTGCGCAGGGGCAAGGCGGGCGAGGTGGGCGTGACGAAGAAACACCGCGGACAATGACTCGGGACGTGAGGCTGAGTGTGTGTTGGGAAGAATCTTTGGTGATTTTGCTGTTTTATTTCATGTTTTTTCTTTGTTTTTTGCCATTTCCCGTAGTTTATTTTGGGCTTAGGCTTCAATGCAGGGTGAGTAAGTAAGTCATCTTTATTTATGATGCACATTTTTACCGACCAAGGACACCCAAAGTGCTTTACAATGTTCAGAATCACATCACTGATCTGTTTTGAATGCATGGATGTGGTGGTTTGATGTGTTTGAACATTGTCAGAGTGGAAGCCTGTCTCACGTTTTCAGAAAGACCGTTCTAAATTGTTTTGTCCCGAGTAAACTTTAAGAGTCCAGTTGAATTTGGCCCAGTTACAGGTGAAACTCGGAACAATCAAATATTGTTATAAAGTTCAATTATTTCTGTAATTTAACCTAAAATATGAAACCAATATAAGATATAAACTCATTACATGCAAACACATACAGTATGACAAACCTTTGTGTGTTAAAGAATCTAATTGCATTTTTATATGAAACGACTGGTATGACAAAAACAATATTTTTAATGCCAAATGTGTGTCTGTGTGCGTCTGTACATCTTTGTGTGTGTGTGTGCTTGGCTCTGTGTGTGCGCGTCTGTTTGCTTGTATCTCTGTGTGTGCGTGCATGTGTGTGTGTGTGTGTGCTTGGCTGTGTGGGTGTGATTGTGTTTGTATGTGTGTGTCTGTACATCTATATGTGTGTATGCTTTCTATCTTGTTTTGTTCAGCCCTTTGAGTTGCCTTGTGTATGAATTGTGCGATACAAATAAACTTGCCTTGGTTGGCTGCGTGCGTGCGTTTGTGTGTGACCATATGCCGCTGTACATCTGTGTGTGTGTCCGCGTCCGTACATCTGTGTGTATGTGTGTGTGCTTGGCATGGCCCCCACACACAGACTGTTCCAGTGAAATGTGTTGTGCTTCTTCTGAGAGAGGAGCTAACGACAGGAGGAGGCAGATGGCTCCTGTCAGGACGCTACAGCGGGCCCTGGACGGCGCACACTCAACCGTTTGGCTTTGTGACGGTGACGACTGTAATCACTGTGAGTAATGTTTGGACCAGGTTCTGATTCAATAAGAGACATCCATATCATTCTTCCCCCTGTGGAACTGCCACATGCTCCAGAGCGACAATAAGTGACTGCGATTACACAAGACATACTGTGTTTGCTTTTATGTATGTATATTATCTTTGACATTTGTGGGTCAACATCATCCACTCTGAACATTAAAAATCTCAACATTTTTCATGAACGGTTCAATAAAAGAAGCATAACTAACTTTCAAACCACCACAGATTTAACAAAATAATAAACCTGAATAAAACAGTTTGGTTTTGTCACATGCATGTGTAGCGTGAGCGGGGGGGAGAATTATAGAGTGGCAAATTTAGAATCAGCAACGCCACCCAGGTCTAGTACCTGGGAAAATAGAATTAACTTGAAAAGAGCACACAGGTAAGTTTTACTGAAGAGGCAGAGACGGTCCCATTCAAATAGTACAAAAGTTTTATTTTAAGTTTAACAATAAGACCTGAGTCCTAGCTCATAAAAATCACACCACACGCACAGCAAGCACACCCCACGCACACCATCAAGCATACCACACGCACACCATCAAACACCGTACACACACACACACACAACACACGCTAAAGGAATTCGGGGCTGAGGCCTAACCGTGAGGGGAGAACTAAAAGGGGCGTTGAGCTAAAATAATACAAAAGAAACACCACAAACAAAATGTGCAAACCAAACCCAAACAGGAACCACCACCAGAGAAATCCACCACCACGGTGTCGGACCTTCAGCCCCTACAAAACAAAAGCATGGTCACAATAGGCAGTGCAGGTGAACAGACAGTCAAATAACAAGACATCAAGGCTTGAGGAGCATGGAAGGTGCAGTCTTTAAGTCTCTCGGGTCAACGTCTCTGGCTGTAGTGCTGGGATATGCGGGCCCTGGTGGCTGCGAGCGAAACAGGGTGGGCTACAATCTTCAAACTCCAACAGGGGCGCGGGCAGCGAAGCGAACAACAGGCAGCCCCAGCAGCGAGCAGGCAGCCCCAGCAGCGAGCAGGCAGCCCCAGCAAGAGCAGACTACAGCACCAGCAGAGAGCAGACTACAGCACCAGCAGCACTACAGCACCAGCAGACAGCACAGCGCGCGGCCAGGCGCATAGATGAGAGTGGGCAAAGCGGCAGCGTCTACATGCATAAGCGGAGGCACATACTTTTACATATTGTTATCCTAGCACACATTAAACAGGCATACTTACTAGAGCCTTATTTGCAGCTCCAATGAGGGAGAGGACAAGGGTGCGAACGATTGAGCCTAAACAAACACAATGCTAAGAGCATGCTCGTAGAGTGTTTGTGGAACAGGAGCGCTTACCGTTACTTAGATACAGAGGCGTGTAGATCAGCGCATGGTGTGCATGGCTTCGAGACAGTGACGTTCAAGCTAAATATTAGATGCAGGATTAACAACTGTCCATTTTAGAAGCTAACGGTGAATCAACTGTGATTACCTGCTGCGAGGTGACAGACAGCCTATGGAGATGCACGCCGGTGGGCGGGCCTAAGCAAGAGGCCAGAGGTGGAGGAACAATCACAGCAGTGCTTTTATGGGCCGACGGCCAGCACAAGCGGCCAATTGGAACTCGCCCCCTCAAATTAAGAGCCCGCCCACACCTCGTACTGCCACATTCCACCCCCCCAAGCTGCATCGGCGGCCCGCCGATGACAACACCCTGCGAGGTCAGGGGGCTTTATTTCCCGGGTGGTGGTTATACTGGCTTTGGAAGATGATGGGGGTTTAAATGTCTTCCAGCAGTAGACCGTGTAGACCTGCGTACCTGTGGCTCACTCAGGTCACAGGTGGCCTCCCTGTTACCCCACACGGGTAGGGGTGGTGCAGGTGTGATAAAACTAGGGCCAGGGACAAAAGAGCTAGGCTGCGCCGGTTCCCTTGTGACAGAAGGCACGTTTAAAACCCTCCTGAGGCTGCAGAGGGTCCTGGTTCAGGAGGAACAGGTCGTCCTCTTCTGACAACTCGCTTGCTGGGCTCTGCACAGAAACAACAGTGGGAGGACCCGAGGCTGAGGCCGCGCTCCCCTCTTCCCCACAAACCCGGGCCTTTAACAGAGAGCGATGTACCCGCTTGATGTTGTTTGGCTGATCTATTGGTGCAATGGTGTACACAACCCCATCCTCTGGTGGTGCCTTCACTACCACATGGGCTACAGGACACCAAAGATCTTTAATCTTCTGCCGTCCCCTAACCGCGCAGTCTCGGAGCAACACCTGCTGACCCTCATCCAGCGGTGCCTCCCTAACATCGCGATCAAAGTTTGCTTTTTCGGCGAACGGCTGCAAGCCGCATCTTTTCTTTCGCTCCGTCAAAAGCTATCTGCAGGCGGGTCTGATGTTCACGTACCCACTCATGGGTGGTGCCCCCCCACGGCTCTGGTGCCTGCCCGAGCAGGAAGTCCACAGGGAGCCGGGGTTCCTGCCCAAACATCAGGAAAAATGGGGACTCCCCTGTTGACTGGTGGGGAGTGGTGTTATACGCATATAACAGTTGAGGCAGACAGTTAGACCAATCCCGCTTACGGGTAACGGGCAAGGTGCGCAACAAGTTGTGCAGCGTCCGGTTGAAGCGCTCGCACTGCCCATTCCCTGAGGGGTGGTACGGGGTGGTGCGAGACTTCACAACTCCATACAAACTGCACAACTGTTGGATGAGCAAGCTCTCAAAGTTGCGCCCCTGATCCGAGTGGATGCGGGCCGGCACGCCAAACTTCAAGAACCATTCTGTGACCAAGACCTGCGCCACAGTGGAGGCGCGCTGGTCTCTGGTTGGGAACGCCAGCGTGTATTTGCTGAATACATCCGTCAGCACCAAAACGTTCTCCAACCCAGCTGAGGTGGGCTCCAACAAGGTAAAGTCGATGGCCACAATCTCGTTGGGCTTGGAGGCCAATAAGTGGCCCATGTAAGCGTGAGCCCCGACGTTGTGGTCCTTTGCGAACTGACAACGCTCGCACCCCTGGCACCATTGGGCGACCTCCCGGGACATGCCTGGCCAATAGCAGCGGGAGCGTAGAAGGCCCAGTGTCCTTTCGACCCCTTGATGCCCATGTTCCTGATGGACTTGTGTAAGAACCTCCTCGACCAAGGTTCTAGGCAGAAGGAGCTGAAAACTGGCTCCACTGCCATCGGGGCGGAACACCTGCCTATAAAGGACACCCCCCAGTTCAACCAGACGATGCCACTGGCTCAGCAGAACCGTGGCCGGCTGGGACAGAGTTTGCCGCTCTTGGCGAGTGGGCTGTCTCTTTTCTCTCCAGTATGGGTGGATCTCCTGGATAACAGGGTCTGTGTGTTGAAGCTCAGAGAGGGCAGCCGGGGTATATGTGGGGAAGACGGTCATCACGGACTGTATGGCCTGATTGGAGGCCCCTCGTAGCGCTTCCTGCAATGGCTGGGGAAGCGGGGTGGCCGGAGCCATATGTGCCCCATCCATAAGTGGTGGCCATGGCTGACGAGACAACGCATCAGCATTTCTGTTAGACTTCCCAGATCGGTACTTTAATTCAAAGTCGAACAAGGCCAACTGGGCAGCCCAGCGCTGCTCGACAGCTCCCAGCTTAGCAGAGGAGAGATAACTTAGGGGATTGTTGTCCGTGAAGACCACACACTTGTGACCCAAAAGATATTCTCGGAACTTTTCTGTCATTGCCCACTTAAGGGCCAATAGCTCCAACTTCATGGAGCTATAGTTGGACATATTGCGCTCCGGGGGTCTAAGTCCGCGACTGGCATAGGCAATAGGTCTAATTTTCCCCTCCTGTTCCTGGGAGAGCACCGCCCCCAAGCCCACATGGCTGGCATCTATCTCCAGGATAAATGGGAGGGAGAAGTCCGCATATGCCAGTACAGGAGCAGATGTGAGCTTAGCCTTAAGGGCCTCAAAGCTCTGTTGGCACGCATCAGTCCAGGAGCCGGCTGCGTTCTGAGCAGCCCTCTGCGACCGATGCACTGCCAGCTCCGCAACCCTACGATGTAATGGGGCAGCCAATTTGGCAAACCCGTCCACAAAACGTCGGTAGTAGCTGGCAAACCCCAGGAAGGAGCGCAGATCTAAAGCCGTAGATGGAACCGGCCAGTTGGCAACTACCTCGATTTTGCCGGGGTCTGTGGCCACTCCCTGGTCTGAAATCACGTGCCCCAGATAGTGCACTTCACGCTGGAAAAAGTGACACTTACTCAATTTTGCCTTAAGCGCTTCCGTCTGTAACCTCCCAAGCACCATGTCCAGCCTCTCCAGATGTTGCCTTACCGTTGACGAGAACACCACAATATCGTCAAGGTAGAGAAGGAGGGACTGGCACTGCTGGTCACCAAAGATGCGTTGCATAAGCCTTTGAAAGGTGCTGGGAGCGTTACAGAGCCCGAAAGGCATGCGATTCCACTCGAAGAGACCGAAAGGGGTACAGAACGCCGTTTTATGTCGGTCCCCTTCAGCGACAGGGACCTGGTTATACCCGCTAGCCAAGTCCAGCGTTGTAAACCAGCGAGCCCCTGTCAGAGCGTCCAGTGACTCTTCAATTCGTGGCAGTGGAAAAGCGTCCTTTCGGGTCTTTACGTTTAGCCGTCGGTAGTCGACACAGAGGCGAATACTGCCATCTTTCTTACGGACTAAGACAATGGGTGAGGCATATGGACTTGAGGACTCCCTTATAATCTGTGCTTCCAAAAGCTTGTTAATGTGCTCTTTGACCAGCTCGTATTCCGATGGTGGAATACGCCGGTATCGCTGCCGGACAGGGACTCCATCCACAAGGGGGATGTCGTGGGTGATCAGGGTGGTGCACCCTAAATCCTGATCATTAGCGGCAAAGACAGAAGAATACTTCTGAAGTAGTGACCGTACCTCACACTGTTCCTCTGGGGCCAGTGGCGATAGGTCGAGAGCGGCGAATGGGTCCGTAGCTGGAGTAACCGCACAGTGGGAGGAGATTCCCACAGGGACAGGAACCTCAGTCAGTCCTGGAGGTAGGCTCACCACATTGACCTCGTCCAATGTCCCTATGAGGGTACGGGGATATAACAGCACGTCATTGTCACCAACATTAACAACACTAACATACGCTGTGCCACCAACTACTTTCACCAACGCGGGGGATGCCAGTAACCCCGCCGGTAGACCGTGGGTCAAGGGTTCGAACAGGGCCGTGACCCCGGCGTACTGCGTGGAGCAGGTGGCAGGCACAACTTTCATGGCGCCTCCTGGGATACGAACTGCCCGCCTGCCCGATACCTTGACCCTGCCAGGTCGCTGGGGGACTCGTTCTAGATCTGCCGCCTGACACTTCTGAAAGGCTTGGAGCAGAGGAGTGGGTGAGGTTGCTATAGAGGGAGAACTAAACAGGGCAACACCATATTGTTCAAAAAGTTCACTGTAACACCGTCTGATTATATTCATTCCCATAACTCCAGGTACAGGGGCAGGGGAATCACCAGGTGGGTCATGCACCACTAGTACGCCACAGTGAGGCATCACTTTACCGCAGAGTTCAACAGTTAACTCCAGGTACCCAATATAAGGAATTGAGAGTCCGTTGGCCGCCCTGAGCTGAAGCCAGTGACATGCGTGCAGGTGTTCTGCACCCCATGGTTCAAAATTGCGGCGGAAAAAACTTTTGGTGATTGTAGACACCATGGACCCAGTGTCCACCAAACAGGGCACCTTCACACTGTTCATAGTAATGTCAAGATGGGGACATGACGCAATCAAGTTGAGGGCACTTTTACGTTCCCCAGTAATACAGGATGAGCCAGATAATGCCCGACCCGAGCGTTGGCTCTGCGGCTCGGTGGGCTCTAGTTTCCCGACTGTGGTGGTAAACTACGCAGGGCTGGCCCAGAGGGTTGGTGATTGGGCACACGTGGCCCATCACAGTCCCGAGCATAATGCCCAGGCCGCTGGCAACGATTACATATAATCGGGCCATAGCGGGGTGAACGACCACGGGGTCTACTGGTTTGAAGCAACGCCATGTTCTTAGTCAGCAGGTCCAGTTGTTCCTGTTGTCTCTTTAATAGCCCCTTCAGCTCAGTTATCTCTGACTGTGGCAGCACCGTTTCCGCCCCTGGGCTTCCACGCATGGCATACTGCATGCCGAATGCAGAGGGTACAGAGTTGCTTCGGCCACGCATGCTAGCCGGCAACCCCTCCAGCTCCCACCGGATTGCCTCCCCTCTGACCTCCAGCAAAGTGGCCCCGGAATGGAGTCGTACGTATTGTTTCAATTCACGTCGTAATGAACCATCGCACACATGCTCAATGAACTGATCACGCAATAACTCTTCCGCATTTCGCATCTCTCCAGGAGCTCGTGATTTAACGCGGTCCATAAGGTTAAGCAGGGCCAAGGAGAACTCCTGCAGGGATTCTCCCTGTTGCTGTTTTCGCGAGAAAAAGGCCTCCTGGAGCGCAACATAAGATTCAAAACAGCAATATAGTTCCTTGAGGATTGAAATGATCTTACCCGGATCCTGTCGCTCGGCCGCAGAACGATATTTGATTTCTTCCTTTGCCTCTCCCTCCAAGTGGTCGAACAAAAAGAATGCCTGTTCTCCTGGTGACAGATGCCGAGCTCTCATGCATGCCTGCGCCTCCTCGATCCACTCCCCCACACCAATACCTATGCGGCCTCTGAACAAGGGACATTTACGGTCTTTTGGAATAAAGACTAACCTCTCTGTAACAGGGGCGGTGGGAGGCGCAGGCAAGGAGGAGGTCTCAGCACTGGAACTAATAGTGGCTGGTCGACGTTCATGACGCAGCTGCTCGTTATCGGCTTTTAGTTGAGCGATCTGGTTCCGTAATTCTTGCAGCTCGTCCTCCATAACTGCAAATTCCTATTCAGACGCTCAAAAGATAGCTGCCGCTTTGCCCTTTACAAAAAAACAGTTATACGTATGATGAAACAAATGTTTATAAGGCAGTTGAATAGGACTAGTCTCTGCCAAAAAGCAAATCCTGTCAGCGAACGCCAAATGTAGCGTGAGCGGGGGGGAGAATTATAGAGTGGCAAATTTAGAATCAGCAACGCCACCCAGGTCTAGTACCTGGGAAAATAGAATTAACTTGAAAAGAGCACACAGGTAAGTTTTACTGAAGAGGCAGAGACGGTCCCATTCAAATAGTACAAAAGTTTTATTTTAAGTTTAACAATAAGACCTGAGTCCTAGCTCATAAAAATCACACCACACGCACAGCAAGCACACCCCACGCACACCATCAAGCATACCACACGCACACCATCAAACACCGTACACACACACACACACACACAACACACGCTAAAGGAATTCGGGGCTGAGGCCTAACCGTGAGGGGAGAACTAAAAGGGGCGTTGAGCTAAAATAATACAAAAGAAACACCACAAACAAAATGTGCAAACCAAACCCAAACAGGAACCACCACCAGAGAAATCCACCACCACGGTGTCG